GATAGATAGATAGAAAGTAGATAGATAGATGATTGATAGGTGGATAGATAGCTCTTGAGCAGGTTGTGCATTCCTATAATCCCCAGCACTCAGGAGGCTGAAGCAGGAAAATTTTGAGAGATCTTCTTAGAGAGAGCCTGTCTCAAAAACAACAATTTAAAAAAATAAAAAGAAAGCTAGATGTGGTGGCACCAACCTATAATCTCATCACTTGGGAAGGAAACAAAAAAAGTGATTAGAGATAGTACATAGGTAGGTAGGTAGGTAGATAGACGGACGGACGGACGGACAGACAGACAGATAATTTAATTTCAGGGAGCCTATAGAGTGTTCCGGGCATTTGTATCTAGGCTACATTCCCTGGAGTGAAAAGGATCCGGATTTCAGGAACTGGAAATAGGAAAGCTGGAACTGTAAGTTCTGAACGGACGATGACACATTTTACTCATTAGCGTTGATGCGGGCCAGATTGCTTTCCAAGAAACCCTGCCCTCTCGCTTTTTCCAGGCCTTCTTGATGGAGGACACCGAAGAACTAGGCCAGCCTGGAGGGAACGCTGGGCCCTCGCACGGTGGCCAGCTCTCAGGAGGGGCGTATGCAAGCAGGGTGTGAGGCATGAGAAGAGACTCCAGCAGCCAGCCCCTTCCAGAGAGACCACATTTCTCTGGCGGCCACCAGGGAGGCCCGCCTCCACAGTCCAGCTGCGACCCTATTTCCCCTGTGCTTCTGAAACCCAACCAGAGCTCACTTCTCATCCAGAACTGCATTATAAAATGTGGCAGCTGTAACAAGTGACCTCATATGTCACACAGAGCTGTAAATACACCCTTCAGTCTGGCTCGTTGCTTGTTTGTTTGCTTGTTTGGTTGGTTTGAGGTGGAGTCTCTCTGAGTAGCTCAGGTTGCCCCAGAACTCATTTTGTAGTCCAGGCTGGCCTCCAACTCACAATTTCCTCGCCTGAGCCTTTTATGTGCTGGGCTGACAAGTGTGTGCCACCAAAACTGCTTTTAAAGCTATGCCGCTTAGCCTTGTTTGCAAACTTAAGGGGATTTACAATCACCATGGAAACCGACCTCTGGGCTCATCCCCAAGTTTCTAGGCTGTGTTCACCCAGGAGGGAAGACTCGCTCTAAATGTAGACAGCACCAGCTTTTGGGGTTGAGGACTTAGGCTAAACAGAACAGTAAAAGGTAACCTGAGCACCCGTATTCATTTTCCCTGCTTCCTGACAGCAGGTGCTTTGTGACCATGACTTCGACAAAGAGAATTTTCCTTGAGTGGCTCTGTCATGACAAAATAACTAAATACCCCCCCCTCCCACACACACACACACACACTCTCTAAACTCATCCATTCAGATCTGGAGAAAAGACCACAGAGAGTCTATGGCCAGCCTCACATTAAGGACCGGTACGTAAGCCAACCTTTTCCCATTGCTGGTACCAAGTCCTGACACAATACAATAGATGACAGGATTTGTTCTGGCTCACAGTTTGAGCAGATACAGGCTTCTGTGGTAGGGAAGGCACGGGGCAGGAGCATGAGGCAACTGGTCCATTCCATTTGATCTGAAAGCAGATGGACGCCCGA